TGGTATAGACATAGTCGCCGAGGAGAGAGGTGTCGCCAATCACGGAGTCATGGGCAGGGGCGTCCCGAAAGGCGATGTCGCCGTTCTTGCGCTGACAGCCAGCGTCAGCGGCCGTGTTCTGTCGCCGGGATGGTACTTTCGACCACGAAATCAAAACCAAGCGGTTTGCTAATCCATTGGTGTTGTGGAATGGTTGACAACCGCCGATCCGGCCATATATTTGAGGGCGTGAGTGGTCGGTCTGCGGACGACGAACGCCGCCTCCACGGAATAGGGCGCCAATGCCGCACCACTTGAACGAGCCCGATGAGCTCGGCGCTCATATCACGGCCACCTTGAGTCTGCCGCGCGAACGGTCGATTGAAGAAGGCGAAGTGGCCCAGCATACTGGTGAAGTACCACTGCGAAGCCCGACCCGGATGCATCACGATCCACCACGAACTCTTTCTTTGAAGTCGGGGAGATGCAAGGCGGGGAGGAGCCGGATAGGGGCGGCCTTCAAGCCCGCTTAACGCCGCCTCTCACCGCCGCGGACCAATTGAACAGCGTCCCACTTGAGCAAATGTGTGTGAGTGGACCCGTGATGGCGCCAAGTGAGTTCGAATAAACGCCGGTAGTATCCGGCCAAGCCCAGGAACCCGCGCAAGCCCCGGACAGAGCGCAGCTGCGGCCAGGCCTGGATGGCGTCCACCTTGGAGCGGTCCATCGCGACGCCCTCGGCCAAGAGATCACGTGGCCAAGGTCTTCGGACCGACGATAGAGGCAAATGCGCACTTGGAGTGTTTAAGGTGAAGTTGATGTTCGCGCAGGACGCCGAAGGCGGCGCGGAGGAGTGCTGCAGTGCTCGGTCCAAGACGTCTTTGTAGATTAGGATGTCGTTGAAGAAGGCGAGCCTTGCAGCGGCGTGGGAAGGGCTTGAGGACGAAGTTCATCGGGGCACTGGAAACGTCGATAAGCGCATTTGAGAGGCGAATGGCATGACCAAAATTCGAAGTAGCCATGGTGTGTGCGGAACGCCGTCTTGGCCACGCCCGGATGGACCGCGGACTTGGTGATACCGGAGCGAAGGTCGAAGCCGTGAAGAAGCGTCGCCATGAAGTTAAATCCGGAGTTCCTCTACCACAGGATGGGAACTTGTCCTTCACCGTGGCGGCGTTGAGAGCCATGTAGTCGGCGCGAATCTCCGGTTCTTGTCTTGTTTCTTAACCGAAGGGACGGCGCCAAAAGGGGGAAATCTTGGGCGGATGATGCCTGCTGCGGCATAGCCTCACTTCTGCGCCTCGGCTCATCCTTTTGTAGGCGGGGGTACTGTAGACGTCTGCCACTCTACCGGATCGATGGCGGCTTGAGATGGATCACGGTGGTCACACAGGCGTCTTTGGCGGTAGGGCAGACGGACGAAGTCGAAGATGTCGGCGTGGCGTCCGATGCGCCGCTCCGAGAGCTGTGACTTTGTGCCGCATGGCGGCGTGGGCCTTGGCGGCGTGGAGATGGCCCGTCGGTGGGATGTCCGCGTCTTGGTCGACCCGATGCCCTTCCACGAAGCGCGTCGGCGCGGTGGTTGAATGCCATGCACGAGTCGTAAATCCCACAAGATGGGGCCCGAAGGCGCGCTGACCATGTAACAAAGGACCATGTCGTGGCGATCGAGGGGAATGGAGTAGCGATCCACCGTAAATGTTCCTCCCCTATCCGCAGAGCGGCGTTGTGGGCAAGACCACGGCGAACCGCCCCGCGATCGCCATTATTACGATGGCGTGGCACACGCGTACGTCACGGAGCCGAGGCGGTGCGCGCCGAAAGCTGCCGAGGCGAAGCGGTTGTGGTGGAGCGAGTCGAAGCAACGCCGTCGGCTTTCGCGTGCGTCACCGATCCGGACGTGGAGTTGCATGGTGTCCTCCGCGCGGATCCCGTGATAGCGCGAGGATATGGCGGCTCGTCGAAGAGTCGAAGCGGAGCAATGAAAGCGGTCGAGGCCGCGGCCCCGGTGTCCTCATCTTGAACTCTGTCATGCGATGTAGTCTCGCCACCTCGAGAAGAAGCGTGTGCACTTGTGGCGCGGGCGTGGGTTCGCCGCAATTGTAGAGCCCTCGCTTACGGCCCGCCATCTCATCCGGGGGCGACCTCTTGTAGACCTTGCCTTGGCCCGGTGGAGTTGTGGCGAGGCGGCGAAAGCGTGAACGCGGCTGAGAAACCACAGGAGCCGGAAGGGCAGCCGGGCGCGCCCGAAGCGCCGGTGTGCGCCGTCACGAAGGCCGATGGCGGGGAGGATCGGTGCATTGCGCGCCGCTCATACGTGAAGCGCCGGCCGTAATGCGTGTTGGAGAGTCTGCGGCTCATGGAGTTCGACATCGGCGCGGATGTGGTTCGGAAGACCCGGCGGTGAAGAAAGTGTGTGCTTCTGCGGGGGTAGAGTGCCGGCGTCGCCGCGCGCGCGCTTGAAACGCTCCATGTACTTGTCGACCGGTAGATGTGAAGGCGGCTGGCGGATCGGCCGGTGGTTGGTGCCGAGGTGGACCGAACCGTTGTTGGCATAGAGTCGGAACTCCGGCCAAAGGGGCGGCCGATCTCACTCTCGAGGGCGAGATACCACTTCTGCTGCCGCGCCCGGTGGTGGTACGACGCCACCACGATTTGATCGGCCGGGCGTGTTTGTTGGCCACGGAAGAAGCTGACCGCGCTTGTTCGACCAACCAAGCGGATCATCCCGGCCGTCGAGCAGCGAAGCGACATCTTGTGGTACTTAGGGGACCATCGGTGATCGGTGTCCTATTGAAAGTCTTGAGCGCAGCGGCGGCGTTGTCATGGGTCTGCGAACGGCATGGGCATGCTCATCGCATGATGGACTGACGTGGGCCAACCTTGGCGACGGTGAGTGGGGAACGAAATTTGAGTGATGGGAACCCCCTGAGTGGCGGGCGGTGGTGGCGGCTAACGTGAAACGCCGCTGACCGATGCCGAGACCGCGACGTCGAGACCGGGCATGGACGATGGCGGGTGTGATCTTGCGTGGCCGTCTGATGGGTGAACAACTCGAGATGACCGGGGCCCCGTGGAGGCCGGCAAGGCCGGAATGCCCCCATAGCCGGGAAGGCCATATTGCGGGAGCATCGGGCCGGAGAGGGATGGCCGACCCTCGATCGCCGCCAGTCTGGTGGTCATCGTGCCCATTTGCAGGCGCATGTCGCCCATCTGGGTCTGCAGGGCGTTGAGTGCCTCGAGGGGAATGGCGGCGATGAAGGCGTTGAGTGCCTCGAGGGGAATGGCGGCCATAGTAGGTTTGGTGTGGATGAGCCGGATGGTATGGCGGGAGATCTTCGTGATGGGAGCGGTGGTGAGCGCGATGGCGGCAACGTCTGTGGTGGTGGTGGTGGTGGTGGTGATGGGGGCAGCGGCGGCGGTGGTGGGGGTAGTGGCGGCGGCGGACAGTCCCGAGGAAGCCATGAAGTCTGATACCAGATTGTTATGATTGCGCAGGGGTTAAGAGTGGGAGGTTGTTGGCCGTGGCTTGAATCCTCGGCAGCGAACAAGCGGCGCCGTGGCCGGCGCCTGGACTCTGAGCGACAAGGAGGAGACGGTGAACAGTGCTACAGCTGGGCACCCAAGGGAGACGGTGAGTCTCAATCCCAGGTTAACTCTTCATTAATCAAATGGTTTGCCTTATAGGCGGATTACAAGCATGCCACTAATTTAGGGATAACAAACTAAACATGCAGCTAACAGACTTGCAACAAACTCCATGCAAAGCTCCTGTGATCTAACCGACTGAAGCTGATCCAATCCAACTGAAGCCGCCCCCTAGCCATTGTTGGCGCGTTGCCTCCTCTGGTACACTTGGCCCACCATAACATAGGTGCTTGAGCTGCCTCTTAAATGCCGATGATGACGCCATGCGCGCCCGCTAGCTGGCTGATGATGGATTGCAGCCGGAGGACGAAGTCCTCCACCGCCTCCCCGTCACGGAACGCTAGGTCGTCGTACTCCCGCCGTAGCTGCTGCGCCTTCTCCTTCGCGCGATCAGAACTGACGCGCATGGCCTTGAGGGCGTCCCAAGTTTCCTTGGCGGAGTCCTTTGACCCCAACGGCTCCCGGTACTCCGGAGGCACAACGGCCAGGATTGCCTCCAGCACCGAGGCAATCCTCCTCTTCATCCTCGGTGCCACTGGTCAACCGCCTTCCCAGAGCCGTCGGGCTCGAGCTTGACCTTCATGGTCACCGCCCACTTCGCCATAGTTGGTGCAGGTAAGGACCGGCCAGTTGGCTCGCCAACATCCCGCATGGTCCTCTGGATGACCAACTTCATGACGCACCGGGCGACCAAGGACTGCCGTGGCGACTTCTCGCCACCGCCACGGCTGCCCGTCGCCCTCCACCATCGCCCGGCGATCACCCACCGGCTCTGAAACCACTTATTGGCCTGAGGACTCCTGCCAGTGAGCAATCAGCTCACCAGCACACTCACACACTCACACTAGGCTAGAGGTTGAAGAAAGGGGGTGAGCTCAGAGCACACACAGCACAAGCACTAGCGTTGGCGAACTCGCTTCAAGTGTGGCTAAGCGGAACTAAGTGTTCCATTGTCTTTGGATAGAATATATACAACTCTACACAGTACCTTGCCGTGTACAAGGGCAGTTGGCAAGTACTCCAACCCACAACTACTCCTATCTAATCATAAGTACAACAGACATGACCTATTGCCACGTCGCTACAGTGATTAGAAATGACAGCAGGGCTGATCACTGCTGTCGCATACGTGAGAGAGGGAGTGCAGCAGGTTATGTCTTACAGTTCTCAGTTTCAGAACATCATTCTCTCCAAGTGAAATATAAAGAGTTAGCACCAAATTGTTCCTTTAGCCTAAGAAATCAGTCATTCATGAATTCTTGTAGAAAATAAAGGTAGGGAAGGTGACACTATATATTGGATATTGGCTGGTGACTCAGAGTCTCATATGCCGCTCTTTGATTGACATTCCATTTCCACTGTATGCTTTTAAGGTGATTTGGAGCATACACATCTGGTCAAGGGCTTGGACTATGCTCTACTTCACAAAGTACGGAGTGAAATTGAAAAGAAACCTGAGGCAGAGGATGGGAAGGATGCAAAGTCAAGGTAATTCCCAGCCTGATGTCATGTTATCACAGTTTTCACCTTATATGATCATAACATCGATTAGGGTTGAAAAAAGTCACTGTATGCAGTTTGTATTTTGAATGCTGTAGTATGCCGATAATAGTAACTGTAATGTGCATGATATTCAGTTATTCACTTGTACAGAAAGCAAGTCAGTACAGAATTTTTTTCCATGATGACTCAATTATATTGACCAAACTTTTTCCTGCTAGCTCCAAGTTTTGGAGTTTGAGTTGATTTAAGAGATCCAATTTCTTTCCTCTTGAATTTTAGAAGAGTCTTCTATGTGAATAAATTTCTTGTTCCTGTAAATTAAGAAAGGGGTTGTGACTCCTTTTTTTTTTTTTTTGCACATTTGGATCACTTGTAGTACTACATAACTTTGCTAGCATTCCTGAAACCATTGTGCACAACTGGTTTGCTGGCATGCTAACTCATATTTGTGTAAGGTATTTTTTCTTTGTACAATCAATAATGTTGTGTTCCATTTGGAATGTGTGTAAGCAACTAGATATTATCTCAGCCAAATATCGCTTCCTGCCATCATTAGCACCACCGTGTGCTAAATGTAAACTATAATGTGCTACAATGTAAAATATAATATGAAGGCGGGCCTGGTGCAAGCGGTAGAGTCTTACCACCAGGACCGGAAGGTCCCGGTTCAAGTCGTGGTCTCCTCGCATTACACGAGGCGAGGGTAAGGCTTGCCACTAACACCCTTCCCCAGACCCTCACACAGGCGGGAGCTCTCTGCACCGGGTATGCCCCCTTTTAATGTAAAATGTAATATCCATCCATCTCCCAGTTTCAGAGATAACAACACTTGTTAACGGCCTCATGTTTCTACTCCGGATGCACCTAGTGCTTTGGGAACATAACACTTATCTTTCACTTTTTGTTGTTCAGGGCAACAAAAGAAGATCAGGCAGTCTCCTTCCTTTTCTGCGACTGCAAAGGTATGTTTCTTTTTATTTATCACTTTTCAGTGAGTTTTTTTCCTTCATACGTTAGTGTTTAATACAGCATGGCTATTGATTTTCATTCTTTGTTGGTTGTAGTCTGTCTACCAATGGATCATAAAGCCTCAAAGCATAATTAAAGAGAATGAATTGTTTCTTCCTGGTCGGATGTCATTTATTTACAGCATGGTAATTCCCCTAAAAGTATTCCTATAGTAATATATTTGCTTCATTGCATAATGGAGTTTGCTATAATACATTTCAGAGTATTCATGCGTTGTAAATCACAAACTATAGGTATTAAAATTTCCCTATTTTTCTCCACAGAAATGACCAGATGCATGCATTATTTGATTTTGATCACCCATCAGTGTTCATTTATACTTACAGACATGGTATTATGTATAAATATCCAAACCATTCTGAGAAATTGAGATTATGTTTATATATTGGTTTACTTAGATATTCATATTTTAACCTTCTTATTCTGAGAATTTAACTCGTGTATCCTATGATTTTTTTGTTGCCTTTTGCAGTATATGAAATGCATGATTATATTTCATTCTATGATAAGAAATTGTCTGTTTCTCTGCTGATCACCTGGGTGCAGAACTTCAATCATTTCCTGAATTTCTCACTTGGGAACTGAATAGTCTTGTCTCTTGTGATTTTATTATGCTTCATTATATTCAAGTGTGTTAATTTACTTTATCTCTGATGGCATGATTTACAGTTCATGTGAATTTGATTGTCATTGCATCATAGCAACCACGAATCACAAACAAGAAATCATATCGTTTCCATAGATTTTCTTAGAACATAGAGCAGGGGTGGGCCAGAACAGCTTATTCTCATGAAGTTGCCAGTATTGTCGAATTTTTTTCTTTTGTATTCCAACTTTTGTTGTATCATTTCATCTGTCTCCTTTTATTTTGGGTTTGAACTTTTTTCTTTATAAATCATAGTAACTATCTTTTTATAATCCAATCAGGAGGAGGGAGTAACCAATGATATTCCAACAACTCTTCATAGGAGCAAAGCTGATTGCCTGGTTCCAGAGGTATTCTGACAATATGATGACATATCGCATGTTGGAGTGTTTTGTAACTTTTCTTAATGACCTTACTTTTGCAGGAGATGGTAACTGTCAGCGTGGATGGTTCTGTACTTGACAGGATTGCTAAAATTATGACATACCTTCGGCTTGGATCATCAGGGAAGGTCTTGAAGAAAAAGAAAAAGGGAGAGAGATATAAAAGGTTTGTTCATGAGAATAAATAATATACTAGGGATCTTGTTGAGTTAGAATCTGAGAACAGGAGAACTTTCATGGTAAATACATTAGGAAATATGCTAAAGTGTTTTGTTTGGAAGAACTAACACATTTTTACTTATATTATATACTCCATCCGGTCATGATAACATGACGTTGGGACAGCACAACTGAACTAAAAGTAAAGTTAGTTTTGTCAGGGTGCATGAGTTTTGTTTCAATCGTATTGCTAGTATTGTTTTTAGAATTATCTTCAGGTGCTTGCTTGTTAATGTACTATGTTTGCTACAATGCAGGGAAGAGCAATTTGGCAAGTGGTGACTATGATGAGTCAGTAAAACCTTCCCAAATTAATGGTTCTACTCTGAAACATCAATCAGATATGCCACCACCACCAGCTCCACCCCATCGAACAATAATTTTAATGGAAAGGAGAAACAACCAGTCCCTGTTGCAAGAGCAGACGATGATGACATTTTTGTTGGAGATGGAGTTGACTATTCAGTTCCTAACAAGGAAATGAGTCAGAGCCCTGTTTCTGATATGGATGAATCACCACATAACCATCAGAAGCAGTCCAATTTCACTGAACCCATGTCCATGTATGGCCCAGTACCACCATCTGAACCTGCTCAAGCTTGGCAACAGCAGGTATAAGCCTATAAATGTTAAGTGACTTAGCTGTGCACTTTGAATGTTAGAGGCTGGCAGTGTATTTGTTATCTCTCCATGTTCATGGCGTGCTATAACCTGTTTTAGTTTTATTTGCATTTTATTCAACTTGGTCGTAATATTTGTGTCTTTTCTGGTGCCAGAACGGGTATGATGCTGTTCAAGCCCAGATGGCAGCTGCTGGATATCAAGGTGACTGGTCAAGCTATGTGTATGCAGAACAGCAGTTGGGTTATCCGGAACAGTATGTGCAGCAAAGCACCCAGGAATACGATGTGTTAGCTGACCCTAGTATATCCCAGGATCCGATGTTCATGACTCAAGCAGACAAGGATCGGGTTTTGGTTCTGTTTTCAAACGTGACGATCAAAGGCTTAATCAGCTGAGGGAAAAAGATGCACGGGAGAGAGATCCAAATTTTATTTCAGATAGTTACTCAGAGTGTTATCCTGGTTACCAGGAGTATAATAATGAGATTGCAGGAAGCGATGATGAAGATGATTTATCGAAGATGGATATGGGTGGACGGGTAAGTGAAATGATTTAGATCTTATGCTAAAAGTTCCTTTGCAAGTGCAAGCCTATGCTTGTGACATGGGTTTCTGTGAAGTTGCAATGGATAGACTAGGCATCACTTAGTTAATGTTTATAATGTTGCATTTGCTTTTGAATTGATTTGCACTGAGAACTCATTTCTGCATCATTTTTCTTCATTATGTAGGAGTGTTTGAATATTCTGAAAACTTATAGTGAGGTGTTCTAGCTGCTTTTTTGATCTTTTTAGTTACTGTTCAATCTGGTATTTGAGCATAACCCCAAGACTGTTGTCCTGATATTATATTGTTCTGGTTGTTTAGCCTGTACATCTTCTGTTGTTCAGTTGTGATATAGCAGCCATTGCTTATTGATAGAAGATGAACATCTGTTTGTATTCGTCGATTCTTGACAAGGTTACAACGTTACAGGGTACACTTATAGAAGATAACTACAGCTAGTAGAGACTAGGGTGGCAGCCAGGGGGAGGAACCCAGGTGACGCCCAACACTAAAGGCAGCACACACTGGGATAGTTCCCAGGCAAGCAGTAAAGACAGCAGTAGAGGCTGCCGTTGAGCAGTAAAGACAGCAGTAAAGCATAGCATTAATGGTGCATAGGGAATATTGCTAACACTTATGTTGCAGTTGTGTTTTTTTGGTTTAAAATGGTTTACTCAAGTCCAAGGTCACGTCTGTTGTGGAATGATACAGAAACTTCTCTCATCGGCGCTTTATAGTGTCTTCTGATATGCGATTCTTGAGCAGGCGAAGGGCCGCCTTCACAGGTGGGACTTTGAGACTGAAGAGGAGTGGGCCAAGTACAACGATCAGAAAGAAGCCATGCCGAAGGCTGCCTTTCAGTTTGGGGTGAAGATGCAGGACGGCAGGAAGACCAGGAAGCAGAACAAGGACCAGAAGCTCACGAATGACCTCCACAAGATCAACAAGATCCTGGCTAGGAAGAAGGGCGAGAAAGATGGGGCGGAAGATGGCGGCCACTACGATGATGATTTACCTAGCTCGAAGAAACAGCGTGGCTGAAGAAGCTGTTGTTTTTCGTTTCTCCTGCGGTCCCGCCTGTACGGCTATGTTTAGCTGGCAGCTGTATCCTGCTGCAATTGTTTAAGCTTCTGGTAGGAAATATGTTGATGCTATTGAGCTGAAACCATGGAAGAAATATGGCTGTATACGTAATTTTTTTTCTAAGAAAAGAAAAGGAAGATCTTTATTATTATAATGAATCTGCAAATATTTGATTTGTCAAAGGAGTCATGTTGGGAGGCTTCTGTGATCTGGTGAGAGTTGAGAATTGCCAGGACTGTGGCTCAGTGTTTAACCTGATGAAATTCTTGCAGTGTGATGCTGAATAATTCCTTCGATTTAGCTGCTGAATTTTAGCATGCAACTTTGGGCTGCCCTTTGGAACGAATCTCTCTGAATGCGTTGCTTATGTACTGATCAGTGACAGGAACAGTATACTCATTCTGGTTGTCTGGAAACCCCCATGTTGAGAATTGAGATTGGTGCCAAACTTGCTTTCTGACAGGAGGGCCTTTGCAAAAACCGAATGAGATTTGTTTCAGTTCATTGACTGTTGTATAGCTGGCAATTTGGATTGTTCTCAAAGCGCGCTATTGGCATCAGGACATATACATGTGAAGAACTTTTACATCCGTGATCGATATTTTACCAGGAATAGTATGATTCTGACACTTGTCTTTATCATTTTTGTGTATTTTTTAGATATATAATAAAGTTAGCACTAAGGGGAACACCAAAGGGAAAAATCAATTACACTCTAAAATGAAAGGATTAACATAAATCCCAGCCTTTATTCATAAATATATAGGCATTGATGATAACGGACTGGAGTCATCATGCTCTACAATGATATAATAGCTAGTGCCGGCATTTTCTGATGTCGGCTTCAATCAATGCTCTTGTCAAGGAAGCCCAAGTCAGGGCCACCTGCACATAAACCTGGTCATACAAGCGATCAAAAAACAAGAAGCATGCAATTCTCCACTTCAGGTTCAATAACAAGAAGAGGTAGACAGTCGAGAGGCCTGTCGCCCATCCTATGCCCAGCCCAAGGTACATGAACAATGCATCTTGATCCTCATCCTCGGCACCTGGTGGTGGTGGCTTTGTATCTGAACAGTTCTTGGAGAGAGGTGGACCACAAAGACCGGGGTTTCCAATGTATATGGATGCCTGGTTATCAAGCACCTGTAGCTGATTCCCAGACGGTATTTGTCCTGACAAATTGTTGTAAGACAAATTCAAGTGGCTGAGTGCGCTTAGAGATGATATGCTCTTAGGGATTTCTCCAGAAAGCCCATTACGTGATAGATCCAAAGATTCCAGCGACTGTAAGGCACCGATATTCATTGGGATTGTCCCGCTTAGATCATTCCAAGAAAGGTTTAAGCTTTTCAGTGCAGTAAGTGCACTAATTTCTTCAGGAATATGCCCTGTTAAGCTGTTGCAAGACAGATCCAAATTTACCATAAACCTGATTCCAGTTGTAAATTCAAGTTGCTGCCCTTTAGTGACAACTGATAAACTATCATTGTACAACATGCTCATGTGAATGAACTCATTAGGCCCAAACATCCCAGAATCAGATGGGTCGTAAACAAAAAAAATGTCAACATTTGAAAGTGACAATCCATAGTAGACGACATCTGAAAGTGAGCCATTGCCAGCAGGAATGTGGGACATGGCCTCCAAATTCACAAGTGACGTGGGGATCATCCCTGAGAAATTGTTAGAAGCTAGGTCTAAAAACTGAAGATCTTTCATCTTGCTAAGCTCGAAAGGGATGTCACCAGTGAACATATTTGAACGTAACCTCAGAAATACTAAGGACGACAATTTCTCTCCTATCCATGTCGGTAAGCTCCCAGAAAACTGATTAAATGCAAGATCAAGAAAAATTAGGCGCTGGCATTTTTGGAGAAAAAGCGGGAATGGTCCTGAAAGACTGTTGTCATTTAAGTTGAGCATAAAGATTTTTGAAATCATTGGCAAGCTTGGGTTGGAACTTGAAGACCCATTACTGGTAGATGTGTTCCCTTCTTCTGAACTGTCCCAGCAATTAGGAAATGGACCTTGCAGTAGATTTCCTGATAGATCTACAAATTGTAAGTACTTCAATTTGCAAAAGGAATTTGGAATTGTACCAGACAACGAATTTTTGAAGAGAAGAAGTGATTCTAATGCCGTAGCTCCAAAATCAAGTGGTAGTGGCCCTGATATATTGTTTCTTGATAGGTCAAGATACGTTAAATTTTTTGAAAACTTTGGAAGACCACCTTCTAAAAGATTCATACTGAAATCCATTCCACGTGATTCCATCTTTCCAAACTTCACTGCCGGTAGCGTGCCTCTAATCTGGTTCCTTGATAGAATCAAATAATCGGTTTTGAAAATGTGGACCAGAACCAATCAGGTATGGAATCAGCTATGCTTGTATTTGAAATATCTAGGATCATCATCCCACTTTGTGATTTGAGCCAATCTGGGAACTTAGGCCCTAGCCTACAAGACTGTAAACTAGCCATAAATAGCTTGAAAGGAGGAACCCAGAGCTGGTCAAATACCATTGTCAAGGAGTTATCTGATAACCCTAGAGACCTCAGATGAGCTAGTTTTGTCAAATGGGATTGTGTGATTATGCCATCTAGGTTGTTGGAATCGAGCTCTAGTTTCGTTAGGTTTGTGTGCTCTCCTATCCAAAGTGGTACATTTCCAGAGATCCTGTTATCGCTGAGACAGAGAGTATAAAGATCCATGAAATGACCTTTCTGAGAAGGCAAGCTCCCAGTCAAATTGTTTGTATACAATTGTAAATTGTGCAAGCTATGCCCAGGAAATCTCTCTAATAATTCTTGTATATCACCATTGAAGTTATTCTCGGCAAGATGCAGCGTTTCCAGGGTATGCAGTCTCTTGAGTGTTATTGGGACCCCTGTGAGGTCATTATTGTTGAGATCCAAGAGTTTGAGGATGTTGAGTTTCCCAGAACCTCAGGGAGGGAACCTTGTAGCCCACAATTTCCTAGATATACATTTTCAAGACTGGGAAGAGCCCAGAAGGGCCAAAAGAAATGTTTGAATGAAATAGGTGAGTTAAACGGGTTACCACTGAGGTATACTGTCTTTAGTGATGTGAGGTTGATATGTACTGGGGGAGGAATAGCGTTTCTTAGGCTACAATCACAAAGCCTTAGGAACACCAGGGATGGAAGCATGTTGATGGAGTGAGTCCAGTCGATGGCAGTGCTGAGGTTCACCCCGTCCAAATAAAGATATTTTAGTTTTGACAGGCGTGCTAACCATGCAAGATCAGTTGAGTAAAAGTTTGGACCTGTCTGCTGACTGGTTAATTGGAGATAAAGCAACTCGGAGAGGTTACCAAGATGGGGTGGTATCTGCCCACTGAAATTGGCGTCGAAGAGGTACAGATATTTCATGTGTTTGAAACTACCAATGAACTCCGGGATTGGCGCGCCACCAAAATCATTCCCTTCAACTCCCAAGGACTTCAGATGTCGTAGTGCAAGCAAGGAGGAGCTTATGTTACCTCCAAGTCCTGCCCCGTACTCGAGCCAAAGCTCCACAACGTGGCCATTTCGCTTGCTGCACGAGATGCCCATCCATGCACAGCAGTCATCGCCTTGCCAGGATGACAGGTAGTTGTCAGGATCAGTGAGGCCCTTCTTGAAGTCAAGAAGAGCATCCCGCTCGCTCGGGATGCAGGGATTGCTTGGTGGAGGTGCAGGTTGGATTGGGGTGGTAGATGAGCTTTGTAGGGACGATACAAGGCGCAGTATTATTGTTATGGTGATCACCACTCGGAACACAAGTGATAGTTTGGCCATGTTGTTTGCCAGTTTCTTTGGGTTTCTTGTAGCTAGGGGAGTGCAGAGATGGCATATATATGAGGGATTGCATGCGTAGAATGGTGCTCTGGGCGTCTGGCCTTATTTATAAGTGCGCTCATGATTCATGAAACCGAGCTACGGGGCACCAAGAGTCAGTCAAGACCCATGATCACTACAGGAGAACGTAGATTTGCCGAGTGCCGCCAGCTTTGCCGAGTGCCAAAAATCAGGCACTCGGCGAAGCCACTCTTTGCCGAGTGCCGGACCAGGTAGCACTCGGCAAAGTCTAGCACCCGGCAAAGAGTGGCTTTGCCGAGTGCCACAGAGTGCCCGGCGCTCGACAAAGGGCGGCACTCGGCAAAAGCCCTCTTTGCCGAGTGCAACACTCGGCAAAGAGTGGCACTCGGCAAAAAAATAGCACTTGACGGCCGAACCCGCCCACGCCGTCAAATTTAAAAAAAAAATTCTTTGCCGAGTGTCGGCCCTGGCACTCAGCAAAGAGGGCCTTTGCCGAGTGCCAAGGCCCTGCACTCGGTAAAGATCCCTTCTTTGCCGAGTGCCACTTTCTGGCACTCGGCAAAGGACCTCTTTGTCGAGTGCCAGGGCCGGCACTCGGCAAAATATATATTTTTTGGTTTTTTTGATCCATTTTTTTGTGAGGTCTTCCCACATTATTTAAAACTCCATGTTCAAATTTGGGACAATTTTGACTTTTTTTGCTATATTTTGTTAGTTTTTTTTTTGTTTCGTTGAATTTTATGGAATATTTCAAATTTAAACTGCAGATGCATGGAATAATCGAGTTTGGTCGTTCAAAAAATGATATTCATGATATTTGGTGTATGTTGACGCTTGTATCTTCGTTCGGATTTTATATAATTTAAATACACTTTTCGCGCATGTACCTCGTCATGTTACGTCAACAAGATGCTCGAAATTTCATGTGACTTCCTGGATACGGCCTCAACATACACCAAATATCATGAATATTATTTTTTAAACGACCAAATTCGATTATTCCATGCACCTGCAGTTCAAATTTGAAATATTCCATAAAATTCAACGAAACAAAAAAAAACTAACGAAATATAGCAAAAAAAGTCAAAATTGTGCCAAATTTGAACATGGAGTTTTAAATAATATATTAAGGCTG